TCCCGTATAATGTGCAGTAAGCTATATTCCAACCTTAATTACTCAAACCTTACCCAAATATGATCTTATGCGTATTCTGAGTATATCATTGTTATTATTTGACAGTTATCATTGGGTGTTTATTGTGATTAACACCAAATCCTTAACGCCATACCTTCTTAATTCAGTTAATTTAATGGCGATGCCTAACCCCGATATTTAAACTTTTATAAATAAATATTACACTTTATTATATTATATATGTTCTGTTTCTTCATAAGTAATTTTATTTATGTTCCCACTATTTTTTTTCTTTTTAATTTAGGATAATATCTGCATTCGATAAGCAGATAAAGAAATTGAAATGGGTGTCATTACCGGTAAATGTGAAATATATTTTTTTAATGCTGAGTTTGTGTAGATAAATATTTTTTAAACCCATTCAATTTAATTTTCAGGTACCTCGTCAACCTAGTAATACTGAATATGGATATTATGTCTTTCGTTTTATGCGAAAGATAGTGTTACATGATTTTATGATCACACCATTCAAGGTTAGTATAAATTTCATAAACTCGTTATATATTCAAAAACATAAATTGGTAGATTATGTTTTCATTTCTTAACATTTACTTCTGATATTTTTTTTTAATGGGAGGGTAAAGAAAGCTTCACGAAAGAGGAGCTAGATGAAGTCTGTAAAGAATGGTGTGATTATGTATTGTCATTTATCAATGTTGATAAACCTTTAGGTTAGACATTATTGGTTGAATGTAAATATTTATGGAACAAATTGTTATAATGTTTTTAACATGCCATGTTGAATGAAAACTTTAAGTTTGTACATTGGGGGTATTGGTTTAATATTATTGTTATACTTAATATAAATACACTATGTGTACTTAATAAATTACTGAGTACGATTATTTCAGAAAAGTATATTAATATGGCAACGTTATCAGTTTTAATTTAGAATGTGTGATCAATTTATTGAAATATAACAATGTTCATTATGTAAATTCTAAAATGTTATTCATAGTATCAGATATATAAACTAAATGTTTTCTGGACATAAATATACAACTGACAGCAAACATTTTTTTAGGCATAAACCTACAACTGACTTCACATATACAGTATCAAATATATTTTTTATGGGATTAATGAAGGTATTTTTAGCAAGAAAACGCCTTCAATCATCCCTAACATAAAACATTGAAGGCTTTTTTTTATCAAAATTACCTTTTATAATCCCCTCAAAAAATTATTGTGTGAAATATTAAAGGTATTTTGGGCAAAAAAGGCCTTCAATAATACCAACTAAAAATTAATCGAATGGATTATGAAGGGCGTTTTCCTATGGGTAACGTCTTCAATAATCCATAACAAAATGTTTATGAAGGCATTTTTGGATATAACCACCTTCAATAATCTGACTATTAAAATTTATCGTTGGGAATATTAAAGGCATCTTGGGCCAAAAATGCTTCAAACATCCCATCCAAGTTTTGTCTATGGATTATTGAAGGCGTTTTTTTACAAAACCACCTTTAAAAATCACAAAAAAAAAATTTATTGATTGGATTATAGAATGCGAGTTCGACTAAAAATGCCTTTAAGAATCGACTCCATATTTTTTCTATAGATTATTAAGGGCGTCTCTCCACGAAAAACGCCTTCAATATTCTATGAAAATTTTTTTAAAGCAATTGGTGAAGGCGTTTTTGCCAAGAAACTTAGAATAATTAATTACAAATAATCTGTGCAAAAACCCAAAAAAGGCTAAAGGAGGAATCGAACCTACAACCTTACGGTAAACATTCATACGATCTAAATAATTTGATAAGCTTAATATTAAAGGTATTTTTGAACAAAATAAATTCAATAAGCCTGCAAAATTTTTTTGTCCAAATATAACACCTTCATTAATCTCATATAATTTTTTATGACGTGATTATTGAAGGCGTTGTCTGTCAAAAATACCCTTAACTATTCACTGAAATTTTTAATAAAAAATATTCAAGGTCGAAAAACGTCTCTAATATCAAGTATTGGGTAACGTTTATAAGTAACAACGCTGCTATTTGAATATTTAGTGACGTTTGGATAATAAATGCCTGAAGTTTTATAAAAACACAGAAGCTAGTGGTGTTTGTAAGTGAAAGGCCACTACAAAACTGTCGCTACAAAACTGTCGCTAATACGTCATTTTGCTGTAGTGCAAGTTCATTCAAAAATATTAAACGAATATGCTCTCGAACATATATATAAACGAAATTATTTATGAATAATAAATAAACTATAACTAAACAAATTTAAACAAACAAACATAAAAGAATCCGAACAAATAAAAATGAACCTTAAAATAAAATTAAAATAAAAGATAAAAATGTAAATTTATTAGTATTATAATAAATGAACAGTAAATGAATAATAAATGAATAAATTTTAAATGAACCTCAAATAAGTTTGTTTACAAATATAAACAAATCAAACAAATCTTTATTTGTATTTAGTTCGTTTAATAAACTAACATAAAGATATTGTTAAAGATTTTTTTTTTAATTTAATAAATAAATAAAAATAAATAAAAATCGAATATATTCAGGAATAATTCATCGAAAGCTCTGTGTTTGTTGAGGAGAGAGCTTGGAATTGTTGATGTTATTCATATTCCAGGGAAGTTTCCTTTGCTGACTCTTTAGCAAATATGGGAATGAATGGAGCTGATTTAGTGTTATTAGACTATATATTTTGTAAAGTCGTCTGTTCTTAATAGGGATTTCAGTCTTGTAATTTGATTGATGTTATAAATAAAAAATCCTTATTTTGACTGAAAGAAAAATGACTGATCTTGTTGTTTTTCCTGCTTTTCAAATTTTATTGGTATTGCCCAGATTCTATATACTCTGACACACTTTTCAACAAACGGAAGTTTCTTTCACTAGCAACACTGCACTGAGACAACAGTCCTTAACAACTCCACTATTATATGTTTATATATATATATATATATTTATATGTCCTTTGAATTTTTCCAATTTCATGATTAATTGCATGCAATCTAACTGTCTAAACTATATATAACAAGAGTAGTCATTTATGGTAGAACCTAGTATATTTTGATAAAATCCTAGACCTAATCCCAGCCTTATTCTGAATCTGACACAGCTTCCTGCAAAATAACATTTCTTATTTTAATAAACCCCAAAATTTTCACTACGTTATATGAACTAAGGTTAAACAAAAACCCTCCATATAAATATAGCTTCTTCTTCTGGTTAATTTGTTTTCACAACCCACCTGACCTCTCTCTATTCTCCCTTTCGAGTCGATATTTTTATTGCAATATCCATCAACATGAAAGCCAAGCCAAGACAAGCCAAGCCGAGGACTTCGGCTAAGAGCTCAACCGCTCCATCAAAGCCAAGGGTGAGCCCATTGGCACTGGTGAAATCTATGTGGTATCGTCCGGCCACCCATCCCTGAGATGCCTTAGTAGGAGACCTTCAAAATGCATTCAGCCATTGACTGCAATATCAGAGGAAGCCTTGGCAGGGAATTAAGGGGCAAACGCTTTCAAGGAACTAGTGGGAAACACAAAGCGGATAATCACCCTGCAGAGATTGCCATTTGATGGTTATAATTGGGATGGCCTGATACCCCAACCAAGCAGTTTATGAATGTTAAAAAGCAGGAGATTCATTGCCATTGAGTGAGGATGTTCCAGGATTTGGAGTCATAGATTGGTGTGAGGAATGCATTTATCATTTTCGGGCCCCCTGCTGTAAGCAACTGATAGCATTGGAGATGAATCAACTGTTTGAAGTTTGAAAAGACAAGGAACGGCCAAGAGAACAAGAATGAATTGTAGTAGGTGTTCTTCAGAAAAGATGGACTCAAATTTTAAGCTTTAAATTAAATGGGAGCTTTAAATGATAATTGTCTTCGTCCTATGAGAATTCATGACCATATACAATTTTACAGTCTTCATCTGTTCCTTCTTATTAAAGGATTGAATCGACCACTACTATCAGAAAATATGCACATACTTCACTCAAATTAAATAATATTTTTACGGATTAGATTAATCAATCTAAAGCAGTAATAACTAAATAAGTAAAAATAATAAATCGATTGATATATAAATACAAGTGATTCATAAATTTCAATTTTTCCACGATTTCTTACCAAATTTTCCCCGTAGAAAATTTACGAATTTGTCTTTTTGTACTGCAAAATTAAATCTCATGGATCTTAAACCTATAGGCTATAGCTAGTCCAGTTTCTATTTGCTATCTCAACAGCCACCGGTAAAAAAACGAAGAAAAGAACAGAAAGCTACTTCAAGTCCAGACCTTCAGGTATTACATCCAAAATCATTAAATAATTAGACAAATTCAATATAAAATTAAACCAAACCCACACACAATCAACTTTGAATTTAAAAATCTTAAGATTTGAAGATCTCTTGTTCCCACTAAGCAGTAATTATATGACCAGCTAAAGGGATGGGACAAGATCCAAGAAACCCTACTATCCAGCAAATAAAACTGATGAAAAACGAGACTACACGTTAGACACCTTCGTTACTTTAAGGGATAATACATCATCTAACTCTCAAATTATTGTAATTTTTCTAATATAATACCTAAATTAAAAAAACTTTTACTCAGTATCTAAACTTTAATTTTGCATATTAAATCGTTTCAATCTTTTAATACTGTTAAAACAATGCTGACATGATGCTGACATAATAATTAAACGCTGACATGAATACCTTGTGACAATGATACGTCTATCATGTCATTTTTTAAAAAAAATAATAATAAAAATTTTTTGTTAAAAATTATATTTTAAAATTTTTTTATTTTTTAAAAATAATTTTATGTTATTCACGTCAACATTTAACATTTAAATGTTATGTCAACATTATTTTAATGATATTAAAGATCGGAACAACTTAATACACAAAAATATAATTTAAATACATTAATTAAAAGTTTGTTTAGATACCGCCTTAGAAAAAGTGTAATAATTCAAGAGGGACCAAACAAGATATCATCCCTTACTTTAAATTGTACACGTGAAGATTTTCATATACAATGCCGCAATGTAAAAAAAAAAGGGAAAAAGGAAGAGGGAAAGAAAAAGAACCCATATGGATACAAAAATTTTGAAGAATCAATGGAAAAAGAAAAACTCATGGAATACACAATGGCCCCTCACTTGCAATGCACAACAACATTCTCTAGACGCTACTCTCCCAAACCAATACTAAACCCAAGCCGAATTGTTATTACAGGATAATTGAGCCCTTGAACCATCATTCCTGGTTCACTTCAAACTCACCTCATCGTTTCCCTTATGTTGATTCCAAAACAACAGTATCAACTCCCTTGGATTTTTTTAATTTGGCAACAAGAACCCACATGTTTGCAAGTTCGTTTTCCAGGTAAGCTTCTCTTTGCTTAGATTCTTCAACCCTTCTTTGAAGCTCGGCCTCTCGATGATCCTTCTCTAATAGAGCAGCTTCATATGAAAGCTCTCTCTCTTTACTTATAGCCAGTTCTCTCTTGAGACCTGAGGCAGATCCAACTGGCTCATTTCGTTTGGTCAGACTCTCTCTTCGGCCATTCCATAGTGTACTTGTACGACGTTGGGTGGGCGAGTTCTTTGCTGCTGCCAGTTCTGCAGCTAGTCTCTCGTTATGATTCATTAGTTTGGCAACTTCTTCTGACAATGCCTTAAGCTCCACAGCAGCAGCTGAGGCTAGCCCTTTGGCATAAGAACTCTCCTCTGCCAGTTTCTGGTTCTGTAGTTCTAACTGTTCTTTTGACTCAGTTAGTTCCACAACTTTCTGCTTCAGTTCTTCAATCTCGGTCACCTGATAGAGCAAAATCAGGAATTTAGCTCTAATATTGACTTTCATGAAAGTGAAATCATTAAAAAATCAGCACATAATAAATGTTACACTAAGCTAAGGACACGTACTAATATTGCCGTAATGAATAAACTGGGAATAAAAACATGAAGGCCTTACATAGTAATAAGCATGCTATAAACTTATATGTTTGAGATAGCTGGCTTTAACCTGAGACAAATGCACACAGGATCATCTATGAATGGAACAAGGGGGTTGCTATATTGCATGAATTACAAATTTAGAGAAATAATAAGTTATTTCGCTTTCCATACTAGAGTTCTCTGTAAAAAGACAAAAGAGAATGATATCAACAAACTGTCTACATAACTATAAAGGGTGGATACACATTACCCAAGGAACTATGAGATTTTCTCCAGTTTTCATTTTGGTTACTCAAAAAATTTAATCTAAGAAATTAATATCTAGACATATTTCAATTACTAAAACAGGGTAGAGCATCGGGACAAGTGTCAATAGTATACAATTGCATGACTTGGCCTTAAAAAATGGCACACTCAATTACGGTACCACGTGAGCAATGAAGGCATCAATTATTTAAAAGCACCTGTGCTTTTATAAGTAAATCTTCACTACTATCTTTTGATGCCGCTACTTCTTTGTCCTTATGCAGGCCTTTCATTTCAGCAAATTGATGAGAATAAATGGCTACAGGACTCACATTTTGTGATTCTAGTGCATCAGATAGCTGCAGCTTTAAGGAGGCAACGGTTTCTTGCAACCCTTCACATTCACAAATCTGATAAAAGAGGTTCAAGTCAGAACTGGCTCCCAGACTGGGATGCTAGTTGTGAGGCAAGGCATGAGAAAGGGACAAATGTATTTATACATATATTGAGTAGGTATATCTACCTTCTGATTGAGCTGCTCTTGGATTATTCGATTGTCTGCAGCTTTAACCTGGAAACAGTGTTTTTAATAAACTCATAAGAGAAAATCAGAAAAATCAAAGGGACAACTGGAGAAAGGCTGAGGAAAGTTTTATAGCATTCTTTGCTTCCTTTGACTACATCATTGCAGTTCAATTTCTATAGACGCCTGTACCATACTATGCAGGAGCTCATAGTAATGAACCAAGTCCACAAGTTCGGTTACTAGAAAGACATCATATAACCTGATTTAACTTGAGTACCTAAACTGCCTACTGATTTAACTTGAGTACCTAAACTGCCTTAGTATATAATGCAAAGACTCATTAGACACATTCTTGGTTGAATATATACAGAAAACTGGTTACCTCAAGTTCAAAGGACTTCTCATTTAGTTGCGCCACCAATTCAGCAATAGACTGTAGCATTATTAAAAAAAAAAAAAAGAGCATAAAGATGGAGTTGCAGGAAGAATCAAATGGCCAATGGAATAACAATACAACCTGAACTTACTTGTGATATTTCTGATTTGTCCATCTTGTTGTGTGAAACCATGATGGAATCTGCAATTTGCTTTTCTAGCAGAGCAATTTGTTCATTCTTCCCCCTGATTTCATCACTCAACTTTTTCGTCTCAACCTTAAATACAAAAAGGATACCAAAATTCAGTCTTTAGGAAGACTATAAAGCAAACAACAAGGATGGTATAAGGGAGAATTTTACTTGAATTTGTTTATTCTGGGGGTTTCTTGCAGCCTCCTCTGACAATCGCTTAAAAGCACTTGAATGAAGTGCTACCTCTCCGGACAGAATCTTCTGCTGCTCCCTTAGTAGATCTATCTGATCAATTGTTTTTATGCTAGTCTGGAGCAAAAGACATCAAAATCTACTTACGGAACTACACATAATATAATCCTCAACATAAAAATAAATAAATAAATAAGGCCATAGCAAATTCTAAATTTCACTATGGTTAGCCAACATTCTTGACAGTGAGTATGCCATAATACATTTGAAACGTTTAACTCAGAGCATGAAAGAAATGAATTGAAGACTATTATGTAGAATAGAAAAAGAAATAAAAACTGTTGCACATAAAAAAGAAAAAAATACATTTGCATACCAAAGGTGTCTCTTGTCCAAGGTAATTGTCCTCTGGAACTTCTCCATTCTGTCTAGCATCTGATAGAAGATCCATGGGTGGAGAACTTACAGTAAGTAAGGACCGGGAAAGCCTAGATTCTGCATGAAAGTTATTGCTTTCTGCTTGAGGGGTTGAAGGTGTACTATTAGATTTAATTCCACCTGATCTATCACTGGCACTTGTCAATGTCCCCATACCACTATCACGTTTCTGGACAAAAATCATGATATAATATAAGCTACTACATCCATACATGCTTCATTAAGAACTATTCATGTAACTGACACCAACATGTTGATAACTTATTGCAGTTTAGAGCAAATCTTCCATAATAATAGGTGAGCAACCACTTACAAGCACTCCAAATTAATGAATCAAACGCCAACTTTTACCATTACAAAAGTAAGCCTCTTTTAGATTATTTGTTTTAGTGTGCTAAGTTGCTGAAATGAATGTAAGATCAGATGGTGAAAGGAATTCCATCACTAATGAATTTTTCCTACTTTATCAAGACTAACCCCAAAGCTGATGTTCTCGTTATAAAACAATAAGCAAGGACTTCATGAAAACAAAACAGAGTACTAAAAGTCCACAACAAACATACTCGGAGCTTAAGCCAGTTTAGCAAGCCATTCTTTCGGGTTTTTTTCTCCTCTTTAAGTGTATCATCTCCAGTTTCAGTGTTCCCTTCAAGGGAAACATATAACTCAACATTCTCATCATCCAGGATCAAATCCCGCCTTCTATGTGGTAGGTACGCAAGCTGTGCATAAGATCCAAGTAACTAAAATTAGAGACAATCAGATTAAAGAAAGTGGAAGTCTTAGTGTGCAAAAATAACTCCAGTCATCTGGTAAAACACGAACAATGAGTATATGAAGTAAATAAGATCAACCATGATACCTCTTCTTCTCCAAATGAATGTCTCCTCCTTGGACCAGGGCGTTGGGGTAATCTTGATGATTGCGAAGCTTTTGTGGAGACAAGAATCAATTTTGTCAATCGCTGTATTCTGCTCAATAAAGCCGCTTTTGCTTCTTCTTCCTGCTCCAATCTTGATTGCAGCTTGACTTGACCATCTTCTAGCTTTACAGATCACAAGAAAGGAATTTTCAAAGTCAAGTGATTCATCCCTTTTTTCCCATTTGAGATAAAATTAGATGCTACAATTCAAGAACTATTTAAATCAAACTCAATTAACCTGACACCAAGTGATTAAAATGAGACATGAAAATGAAGAATAAAAACCATAATATTACTTTATTTTAAAAAGGTGATACAGGAGAAGAAAAAGAAACATTTCACATGACATCTGTGCTTGCCCCTTAGGTTCACTGCTTATACCAAGAGTATAGCATGCACACTATCATATGTTTTTGAGTTGAAATCTAATCTAGATCAATCCAAGTTAACATGACAGGATCCCATAAGATAGCATCATTGAGAATTTTGCTAGAGATAAATTTTCTTGAAGTTGTCTTCCCCTATGATTTCACATCAGCATCCAATCTCAACTCATCATCTTGGAATGCAGTATCAAAAGATTGAGAGGATGGGAATGTCAGCAATCAAAAAAAAAAAAAAAGGAGTTTTTCCCCCCATTTGGGAAGTTGTTATTTTCTCTTCCTACCATAAGCACCTAGAGTTGGTATCCTCTTCTTCCCGAGTCTCTACTCTAAGGCCACCAAATCATGAACTACAAAGGCTGTTTTAATAGAATAACCACAAATTGAAAGCCAAGGAAGAGGTTCAAAATGTACGGCAACAAGCAAATGTTTATTTTATTGAAATCGTAGGAAAGCCAGCTGAAGATAAACCATATAGTGTAGAAAACATTCTTTAATTTACTTTGCCCACACCTGCTATCAGTTTGATGAGGAAATCAAGTAAACTTTGTCAGTACTTTGCACATGGTAACCAGAAGTAAAAATGTTTCCACAGACTAACTAGAAAATACATAAAGAGTGAGGTTGACCCATCTAAGGGTCAAACGTATTACTTTTTGTACCCTCAGAACTGCTTAAAAGGACAAAAGTAAATTGGCTAAATCAAAATTACTGCTTATTGTGAAAAAGATTGCACAAATAGGGAATCCTATACTACCCACATGCTTCAGTGATGATATGCTAAGAACAGTCTCCGGCTGCTAAGCCTTGAATAATATTTTGCTAGACAAAACCATCCACAATATCAAAATGAGCAGGACAACCCATATTATTATTGACAAAACATAACTCCACAACCCACATATCCCACAAATTAAAAAAAAATAAAAAATAAAAACCCCTAACAGTTAAGCAAGACATAGCACTTCTAAAATATGTTAAAACGTTAAGCATACACTACAAAAAGTAGTCAGCATTTTGTACTACTGCCTACCTAGTTACAAAGACAATAGTGATATCATGGTCTACAAGTATGAAGTAGCAAAATGTCCCCATGGTCTAGATTCACAATTAGATCAAAGCACAATTAAACATTAAAACATTAGCTTTTGTAGTCAACACAGCAGAAAAGTACCTTCTGCTTTAGGAGTACAATATCATCTTCTCCAATATCTTTTAGTTGAGGAATTGTTACAATACCCTGCTTCAATTGTTCTAACTCTTCCTTCAAACAGCGTATCTCATTTTGGTATTTTTTGATAAGTGATTTTTCATCAATGATCTGCATTTTGACAGAGTAAATAACAAAAATTGAAAAAAAAATTATTCCAATAAATATATTTGTGCGTGTGCAAGTGCGCACACATACATTTGCATATGGTCTGCACGTCAACACATACACCTATAGCATACAGACACATGTGCACGCACGCAACAGACATATCTATGCATATATTAAGTAAATACAAATAAGACATTCATGCATACCTTGTTCTGTGCTGCTTGGATTTCAATGTGTTTGGCACGGTGGGCAAATTTCAGTGTATTGTGTGTCTCTTCTGTGTTACTTGATGAAGGAGTGACAGTGCAAATGAGCTGAAATTTTGGACAGAAAAGAAAAACAAATAAACACAAGACCTATAAGCAAGTATTACTTTTTCAGAGAGGAATATGGTGCCAAGTTTACATTTTTCTAATGTCTTTCTGTTAACCTAGATATATGATGAGTTTTTCAACAAAGGTATCCAATGATGCTTACAGATACACGCCCATGACCACTTAATGAAGACTGAAGCAGCCTGGTCAGTTTAGAATCCCTATATGGTATATGAGTGGCTCTCCCATCTGTTAATTTAGATATGACCTACAAAAATCAAAAAGTCATACAGTAAGCACAAAGCTTATCCCATTCAAAAGACATGTATAATAGTATCCATAAATATGCATAGGACCAAAAGGAAATTGCTATTGTTCAACAAAGATCAAGTAAATGCCAACATTATTATTTATTTAGAGAGAGAGAGAATTTTACGAAACCATTAGATACAGTTAAATGGTATGCCCATGTCGTCAGATTCCAACACACAGTAAATGTCAGCAGTTATAAGAACAGAGTATTATTATGTGCTTTAAAATATCTTATGCAATTAACACGCCACAAAATGTTAAAGAAGACATCTCAGAGCCACCCTTGTCCAATACAAAAATTCAGAAATGCAAAACAATGAACATAAATTTAGCCCAGTCATGTAAAATTTTCTCTTTGCATTTTACTTACTGGTCTATACATCATATAGCACCACAGAACAAAATGAAAAGTACTTGACACAGGCATGAGTTTATCCATGTACGAGGTTGAAGTATGTGGTTGTTACAGACTTGTCTTAACAATCTAAGAAACTGATATCTCAGCAAGCATATTTTGAAAGAAGAAAATTAAGATCATGCAACCATTATACTAGTTGTAACCAACATCTACACTAATAAATTAGGGAAAACCATTTTGGTGTCTCCTTTTCAATTTTAACAATATTTTAGAAGGGGGGGAACCATGCTGAGAATAAATATTAAATTGAAAGTCAGTTTAAAGCTCTACTCTGATGCAGTTACATATATACTCTCCAAATGCTTGTTTAAGTTACCATAGAATTTAAATCAAGTAACCAAGTGTATACCATGCATGGTGCTCTCACACAAAACAAAAAAGGTGGAATATATATAATCAACTATTGACTTAGAGATTAAAGAGAAAGAAAGCAATGCAAACCAAAAACAGCTCAATTTCCGCCATGACTTGAATAAAAACAGTAAACTTGGGCTCACAGTTCCTAGAGTTAGCAAGCTTTTGTTGATATAAGATCCTTCTTTTCGTCTAACACCAGTTGTTTCAACCTTCGAGCTTTCAGAACCTGCCAGATCGATGAGGTTCTGCATGTATAAGTAAAATATGGAAAAGTTAAAATACTTTCATCAACAGTGGAATAAATAGCCACTAAAATCGTTAGTTCCTTCCAAATAAGAGGAGTATAAACATCTATAAATAAAATAATAAATAAAAATAAGACAAAATTGAAAACATAACGAAGTAACCAAAAAGTAACTGAAATTTATCCCACGACTAAGGCTGTAGTATTTACCAGCTGAGACAGATTTACTGCTTCGCCTTCAATGTTTTCACCACATGGGCTGCTCTCTATTGTCTATAGACAAAGGGATCACAAGAAATAATCAGTTGTGGCAGTGAATATATTGGCCATCAATTTATCAAATACACCATTTGAAATCAGAACTATAGCAAATATAATTAACACATTTGACATGTAACAGCAAATCCACACTTCAAAACAGGGAATCAATATTATTTCTCACAAAATGTTAGCTAAACCGATTGCTAATACCACTTAAATTAGTATCAGCAAACATCTTTTTCTTTTTCTTTTTCTTTTTACTTCAGTGGAAAAACTAAAAAGGGGAACAAGGAACTTCTAATAGATGCAGATTAATAGTGAGTATACCAGTGTAAATATTGTATGGCTCCTGCTGCTGAGTAAATTGAAGTTTGTTGATCCAACATGTCTGTGTTCTGTTTTAAAAGAATGAAATATAATCACATAGTAAAAAAAAAAGTTCATTACTGCTAGCATAAGGAAATGGACATTGGCCCAAATAAGAAACACATCTTGGACAAGGCATGCAATGAAGAGGACAGCCATACACAAACACACATCTACGTCAACAAATTCATGTGCATAAACTCCCTCTTTTGTGTCTGTAAACTTGATAGTCATTTTATCCAACTTCAATTTAGATATATAATATTGTTTTGGTAACATAAATAATCTGAAGCTCGGGTTCCAGAAGCTGTCTACACAATGTTCCAGCTCTAATTTGGATAACTCATCTCGGGATACAGCAAAATAAGCCAGCATGTTTTACCTTCCCCAGCCGCTATAAGAGAGAGGGCATGAGCAGGGGATAGTACAACTTCTTCCTTTATACCTTCAACAAAGGTTCCCTACCAGCATAAACCAAGTAAGAGATAAATAACACACTTCCAAACACGTAAGAAACAATAACAACTAATAGAAGAAACAAGATTAGATGCTGAGAGAATAGCAAAAAAAATAAAACATATGCAGAATTAAAGACAAGGTAAACAGCATATTCCCTAGTGCACACACACAGACACACACCTGGCCACAACAAAGAACCGGTAAGCAACTTTACAGATGTATACCTGCTACACAATCATTCTAAAACATGTGATATTAAGCTGAAATTAACTAGTCATAAACTATATTTGGATGATAAAACATGATGTTCATGCCGAAAGCTCAACACGTCCGATAAACATAATTTCCACATTCACTGAAGTCAATCTAAGTTGATAATGAAGCATTACCTAACCATAGAAGAAGAATTAAAGGAGATGGGAAATAGCAGACATAATTTCAAAAGTAGAAATGTTTGAAATGACAAAGATAGCAGCATATCAAACAAGGATCATAACTGATAAACAAGTACCTGAGCGTCTTCTCTAATTCTCAAATTTTGTCCTGCTGGATTTAATAAGTCATTAACAACCTGAAATGATAAAAAACCTTGAAGAATAGTGATGTCGTATAACAGCAAAAGCAGATTTGAAGTAGTTTAACTAAGCTTTCTAGAGAAAAGGAGGGTTGTCAAGATAGAGAGAAGAATAATAGGCTAATATTTAGGTAAAGATAGAAGAAGCTCACCTCATTATAGATCTCCAGATATGAAACACGAAGAAGAAACTCCCGATTTGGTGTCTACAGCAAAAATGGCTCATTACTGTCCATAAAAAGTACAAGAAATAGAAAATACAAATGTCAGCATCCCATATATTACCTCCTGAATAATACTAAAAGCATCCTTCACCGCCAGTGGTATAATTCCAGGGGACCTCTGATCACCCTGCCATCTCAGCAATTAAGATGAAATTAAGCATTCCACTTGTACTTTAAAATGCATACACATAGGTTGCCTTTTCCTTACATGAAACAGTAATCCCACACCAAATCATACCATGTGTCACAATGTTGCATGTAGAAATTGCACAGTTTTTGAGAAAAAAATACATTCTTGAAGTTTTAAGATTTTGCATGTACTTCACGAAAAAACATGAGCATTTGCCTATGAAAATCTAGATTTGCAGAGATATATGATAGATATGATGATGCAAGGTAATAAACCATACCCCTTAATATGACATAACCATTATCCTTTGCTTTTTAGCAAAGGATATATATTTACATATATATATATATATATATTTATATGGGCACTCAAGGCCAACATACAATATTTTCCATTAATAGTTCAGAATGAACCATGGTAACAAACTTCTGCAACAATAAAATTTGCAAAGATAGAAATAATGAGTAGCTAGACTCAAATGTTGAAGCAAATCAAATTTATAAGGTGCTGGTAGACAAAGAGCGGGAGATTGCTGCTTTGGTTAAAAAATTACTGCTAGTTCTAAGCATGTCACAAGAGGACTATACAGAATTAAATAGATTTGACTTAAAGGGCACAGAAATTTCATTGCTCGTTGCACTCACGTATAAGATTAAATAAAAAGTCCACAACCCTTCAGAATGAACCATGTAACAGGCTTCTCAGAAAATAGAACTTGCAAAGATAGAAATAAAAAGTAGCTAGGCTCAAATGTGGAAGCAAATCAAATTTACAGGTTACCGGTAGACGAAGAGCAGGATATTACTGTTTTAGATAAAAAAAAATTACTGCTACTTCTTAGCACATCACAAGAGGAAGGTGCAGAATTAAATAGATTTGACTTAAATAACCAATCCACGACCCCTTCTTGCTCCTATATCCAATAACAAATTATAATTAATCCAATTCTCTACATCCCAATCTGATAAGATTAGAGTAATTAATAAACTAATTCTTCACTAATGTTTAACAGCAAAACAAATCGAATGTTTGGTCTTGATAATGCAAATGAAAAACCAACATACCATCAAACTACAACTTTAGATGAAATTAAAATAGGAGACACCATCCAGCAATGCACAACATACAAACAAAGATAAGGAAAAGAAGTAGAAAATTATTTAGTCTTACATGCATTGTATGAGTCTTCCCACTACTTGTCACACCATAAGCAAAAATGGTGCCTGTGAACAAAATTTAAAACTATAAGATATAAAAACAAAAAATGCTTTGAGAAAATATAAATTAAATGCCCGAACTTTCAGTATCAATCCATCAACTTCTGATGCAAAACTGTGAGAACTTCTATTCAGAGAAGGCAAGGTGGCTTCTTGCCTGAAACGGTAGTTATCAAGGAAGCTTAGGATACCTTGGTAACAAATCTTTTGGTTCCAGAAATATCAAATGGAGTTCTCCTAGGTTAAAATGGTCCTTATACATAGGAATTACGAGGTAGACTGCTGAAATAGGATCAATTAACAATTAGGTCTCAGTCCATTGTTGTGAACATGATAAATAGCAGTCACAAACAAATGACAATGTGCAAAAGCACTCTGAAAACCTCTTATACTCTGAAAGCCTACTCAAACGAACTTATAAACCAAAGTCACCAGATTCATTCTTGCCCTTAGTAGGAACTAGGAATCCTTGGTAATATCCTTGCATCCTGTTATAGATTCCAAAAGAGTGACCAAAAACTGACATAAAACCAAAACTATGCAGGTCCAAAGCCAGCAACAGCCTTGCCTGGTCTATTTTCTCATGGGTAAGTACATGCAAGCATTCATAACGCTATCAGGCCATGTTGCATGGAAATAACAAAACCATTAAGTTCCAGAATAGCCTTAACATTAGTTTAATAGATGGTCATGGAATAATCTCAGTCCCCAATAACTAGTTCATTACTTTCTTTTGGCCACCAATGATTATTCAAAAGTAACGAATCCCCTTTATTACTATCTAGAAGAGTAAAAGAGCAATTAAGAAAACAAGAACACTGTATTTCATTGGATAAGGGTAGAATTAAAGCAATCTGTGAATTATGAAAGAGCTAATTTTTGCTGAGGGATCTTCATAATATACCATTGATGCCTTCCATGGCACCATTGACAACATGCTGAGCAGCAACATCATACACATGGCGTGTAGTAGTTGTAGGGCCAAACACTCGATCTAGAAGTATAAGAAACAACAGATCAATTAAGTGAGATGTAGAATGCTTAAAAAATTTAGACCCGAAAAACAAAAAAGACACACTGGATAATATATACTTTATGTCAATGAACCAGATGCCTCAAATGAAAACAACAGAGAAAAGTAAATTGTTCTTAAATTTATTTAGAACATAAATGGCAAATACTTCTCAAACTTCAGATAGTATCACAGTGCTATTTCACGCATACACATAAAACCTAAATCAGAACATAAAAAAGTTTATGTACATGATAAAAAATGACAAAAAAAGAAATGTACTCAACAAAAAAATTTCAAACTCACATATAAACTTCCAGGGGAAAAATGTTTCTGAAAAAAAAAGAATACTCAAAAGCTGACATTAGCCCTAAAACTAAAAACTAATGCCAATGTTATAAAAATGTAGTTCGACTTCAAATATATCCAGCCCTTCACACTGGAATTCCACAACATATTTTTATTCTAAGTTTCCGTTAGTCGGTGTCTAGTAAACCTAACTCTGATTAAAACCTAAAGGTTTCTTCAATCCTAAAGGTTTCTTCAATCAATTGTATCAAATTACATGATCATTCAAATTCTCTTTAGAAGGAAAACAGTTGGTTGATAAAGTCTACAAAACTAACCATATGCATATGCTATCGACGGATTATGTTCATTTCTCAAAATAGTCTCCCCATCTGCATACCAAGCAATCTCCTCGCCTTGACGAATTTCCCTCGGACTACATCTCGCCAACACCAATAAAAAATTTATAAGCCTTCATCAAACAGAAATAAATGAAACCAAATACACAACGAGAGCCAAAACCAAATAATGTACCTGAGAGGCCGGAATCTAACGGTCACAGTGACATTTTCTTTGGATCGGTTGGCATGAACATTCTCAAAGTAAAAATACTGTGGCTTGCTTCGAGCTGATGAAGATGCCGGTGAGCTCTGGCCATCAATAGATGTTTCTACAAAGTGTTTGGTTGATGAAGTTGTCGAAGAAGAAGGCGAATTTACAGCTTTTGAGTTGGTTGAACCTAATTTCTTCGATTTCGATCCTCTTCTAGAGGACATTTTCACCTTACCAAAAAATACTCGCTTCTACACACTGGAAAAAAAAATCAATGAGAAAACCAACTCGAAATTAGAAAACAAAAAAGGTAGAAATTAGTTCTTGAAATAGGTACGTTTTAACAAAATTGACTTCCAGAAATAAAAATTTGAGGCAATTTTAAAAGTCTTGAGTTTCATTTTAAGTAATCAAATTGTTGAAAAAAAATCTACTTTCCCAGCGAATTTCGTTGACAAATTAAGTTGACTTTTTACAAGGCAAAAAGAAAATAAAGAAAGAGAAAAGAAAACTAACTTCCTTTTATATCCTCAATTTTCTCACAAATCAAACACCAAAAAAAAGTGACAATTAAAAAAAAAGAAAAAAAATGCAGGAAAGTAAAACAACTAAAATCTTTTTTTCCACTCAAAACTTCACCTCTTCCATCCAAACAAAATGTCACTAGAACTTTATTCTTTTTTTTTTCTGAAATTTGGTGCGTTTAGTAACAAAACAAAGCTTACCTTGGCAGAATCAGAGAAGCAATGTGGAATGTGGATAATAAAAACTGAGAATTTTGAAGATCTTCTTCGAACTAATAGAGAAATTAGAATCTACAGATCTAACAGTTAGAGAGAGCAAAAAGAAATGAGAGAAAAGAAAAGATTAAAAGAGTCATTTTATTACCGGACTACAAGAAAAAACATACCATCATTCATCAGTAGAAAGAGCAAAAGAAAGAGACAGAGAAATGCTCTTTTTCCCTTTTTTTTTTTTTTTTTCACTTGTTCCTCTCTGATGGGAAGGGTAGCTTTTTTGCTTGCCTTGGAAGCGATGCCTTTCATCAAAGCCCAAAGGCGAACGGCATTTTTCAATCGTCCAACAAAAAATATATATATTAAACAAAAAGAAAATTAAGTGGGTGGTTTAATTTTTGCTGGATGTTTGAATTCTTTTTTTATTTTTTATTTTTTAGCGCGAAAAATGAGTAAAGAGTGTAGACGACACGATCACCGGAGTCACGTGAGAATGAGGCAAGTGAGAGTGGGGCCCAGTTTTAGCGGTGATACACGTGTCTGAATCTAGCATTATTTACTTAGCTTTTTGCCAACGCAACGATTGACTTTTAATTTAAAAACTTATCTTCTAAAGTATAATGTTCTTATTGTTTCCCAATTCACAGCGATTATAGCCATGTCATCTCTTAAATCTTTTTATTAATTTGTATAAAAAAAATTTTTAAAAATAACAATGTCTCTCTCTTCCAGAATTTTTTTCCAAAAAAAAAAAAAAAAAAAAAGCAAACTGCTTAAGTTGCTATTTACATATTAAAATTTTCAAATCCAACTAGACAATAAACGCAAAAGACTCGTAAATAAGAACAACGCAAAAATGACTATAAACTGAGAAATAAGATTAAAAACATTATATTTTAAAAATTATTTTTTAATTATTCTGGTTAAGTAAAAAAACTCCGAAATAAGACAATTTTTTTGGTGTTTAAATAAGACAAATTTTTGCTGAAAAGAAAATGTTAGTAATGTATTTTTTCAATTTAGTAATGATAACATTAAAAATACAAACATGGTTTTAATGAAATTTAAAAGTCAAAATTCAAAAAGTAACTCAGAGTATTTTGTTTGACATGAACACCAGTTGAATATTTGGTCACTCGTACTCTCCATTATTCTTAAGGTAGTTGAACATTTTTTTTCAAAAAAATAATAAATTTGCTTTTTGAATAAAGAGGTGTCTATTATTAAATAAAGACATATTTACTATTTTTTATGTAATCATTACTCAAGTGAATTTTTTATAAGGTACGAGATTTTTTTTCTGATTAAAATTTAAATTTGATAATTTTAAAAATAAAAAATATATTTAAATATAGCATATATTTATTTTTCTCTCTCAATATTAAATTAACAATTTTAACATATAGCATTATTTATTAAAAATCTAACGAACTAAAATAAAAATCCTTGTAAATTTTAAATTATAATTTTAAAATCCAAATTTATGATAAATCTCTTGAATATAAATAATATTATTAATTATTTATAATTACTTTTTTAATGAGAAACTATAATTAATTTTCTATTTATTTTAGGTTTTGCAGGCACTTATAAAAAAGCCAATTACAAATGTTAATATATGTATTAGTTTTCATAGAATATAATGGACAAGATAATTCATAATAGGACCACCTTTTCCCTTTTTTTTTTCCAATCGATTAATACTAACATTGATTATATAATTAATTTAAAACTTAATTCAATTAATTTATATAACTATTTTTAAAAATAATATTCAATAAATTTGAAATTAGAAATTTTAATATATTTATAATCATTTTCTCAATTTTAAGAGACCTTTATTATATAAAATATTAATTATATAACTTTACAAAGTTTAATGAATAAATAATTGTTTTTTTTATCAAATTAGAGGGAAGCTATATAAATTCGAGCATTTATTTATATTAGAGTTAAACTATATAACAATGATTAAATTATTCTTTTAGCTATATACATATGGGTTAATTCAATTTTATATTTGTATGAATCATATATTATAGCGGTGTTTGAAATATGATATATGGCATTTATTGAAAGTAAAGTTTGTATAAATGAAAAAAATACATATTGCATTTATGTTAGATTGAAAACTTTTTACTATGTACTAATACCAAAGTACATAAATTAACAAAATATCATGTGATTATCACTTCCTTACAATCCTTATCCTATTTATGAACCAAAGATTAAATTTGATCATCTTAATTCAATCAATACTTTTCTCAATTCTTTTACATTCAAAATATTAATATGGTCGTTGGTTGATTTGATGAAATAAAATATTGACTTTATTGATGCAATATTAATTTTATTGACGTGATAATTTAAATTGATGAAATCAGTTATTAAATTATACAAATAATTAATGTATTTGCACAAAACTTAAATTTTAGTTATTCTAATATAATTTTTTTAAAAAAACTCATTCTCATACAAGTTAAATTTAATAATATTAATTCAATTACTAATAACAAGCATACCTTTTTACTTTTTTAAAATAATATTTTAATTATTTAACAGAAAACCAATTTTTAAAATTTTTAAAAAAATTTCAGATTTTAAAACATTAAATTCAATATTTTAAAAATATTTTAATTTTTTAAAAATCCTATTTTTTTTTTAATTTTATAAAACTTGATTTTATTTTTTAGAAACAAATTTTTTTTTATATTTTTCTTATTTTTTATATAATTTTTATCAAATTTTCTATGTATTTTTAATTTTTAGGTTTTTTATATTATTTTACATTTTTTTATTTTTTATATTTTAAAAAGTATTTATAAATAAAAAAAAATTACACGTTTTTTATGTTATTAAATGAAGAATAAACTATAATAAAAAAACTCTTCATATTCCCTATTGTTTTATTTTACTTCAAATTTTTATTCTCTTTTACCTCAAATATATTATATACAAAAACAATACAAATTCTAATGACATGCATCTTCTTTATTATATTCATTTATTTATTTAAATATTAAAAATATAGAAAAATTTGAAAAAAAAAAGTTAAAAACTATAGAATTTTTTAATTCCAAAATATTAAAAACAAAAAATTAAATATTTTGATTAAATAAAATGTTAAGTTTAAAAAAAATAAAAAGTGCAAAAAATGAATTTTATTTTAATAAAATAAAATATCAAAAAGGTAAATTTAATATTTTAAAATATATAAAATTTCTAAAAATTTTGAAATATTAAAATTTTAAAAAATATAATCTGATTTTAAAATTTTCAAAAAATATAACTTTTACAAAAATAGAATATTTTTTAAAAATATTAAATTTAAGTTTTAAAAAAATGGAAAATTTCTAAAAAATTACAAATATTGATTTTTTAATAAAAATTTGATTTTAATACAAAAAGTAAAAAATATATATATAATTTTTATTAATAATTGAACTAATATTATTAAATTTAACTGACACAAAAATGAGAATTTTATAAAATTATAATAAAATGATTAAATTTTAAATTTTATATGAATACAAGGTTATTTGCATAGTTTAATATTTGATTTCATTCATTTAAATTATTATATCAACAAAATCAATGTCATGTTAGTAAAATTGCATTAAAGTCATCAAGTGATTATATCAAGTAAATAATCACGTCAAACATTTTTAAAGTAAAAATTTTAAAAAATTAATGATTAAATTAAAATTATCAAATCAAAATAATATAATAAATAAATTTATATAAATTATAATATATAAATAAAATTTTATATCTGAACATAGTACAAAAAAACTCTGACATAATTTAGTCGTCAATCTAGCCAACAACTTCTTAAAACCGTTAATGCCAAGCATTAAGCACAAAAATATAAAAATGTGAACTCCCATAAAAAACTCCACGATTCAATTACACGTCGTGAAAAATCTTTTCATTAAAAAGAAATATATACATATACATATATATATATATATATATAATTTTAAAAAATAAAAAATATTTTTCTAAACACATTTAAATTTTTTTAAACATATTATTTAATTCCTTAATCACTTTACCTGCTATCATTGCTCGATACCTAATTACAATCTACAACCAACAAACACTCAATACAAATAAAAATAATTCTAAATCCGTCACTGATAAAAAAGTATGAATATAGATTTTGATAAAGCGGGTTCATTCTCTATAAGTTGCAATTTAGGAGAAGGAACATGTTTAAAAAAACAATGATAATATTTTAACATTTGGCAAGTGGTTTGCATGAGCTCTCTTGTAAGTGTACCATGCAACATTTTCCAAAGTGTGGGTCCTGTATTATTTCTGCCCAAACCATTAACTTTCACCTTCTTTTTATAAATAAATGGTACAATAGTAAAATAAAGAAATACTGGTGGTAATTTAAACTTATAATTTGAGTTACCCAAAATGGACGCACAAGCTGAAGGAATAACAAAAGCGAATAGGGAAGTGTATTTTATGAGAAAAATTAAGATCATAGTGGATAATTACAAAAATTAATGTTACAAACTTTTAATTAGCTCAAATAATAAATCTTTTAGTACTGAAAAAGAAAGTATAATAATTAATACTCATCAACTCTTCATTTTATCATGTCTAATCAATCTTATGGAGCAAGTTCAAAGGAATTAATAAATTACAAATAAGCTTGAGCCTAATATTAAATCAATACTGATTAAAGTTACATCTTATTATTAGGTAATTAGATCATATGTACCTAAAGAATATCTACCACGAAATCACTTCCATTGTACATAGCTAGCATTTGTGTTGCTTTCGCTTATTAGGAAACAATTAAAAAACCATATGAATTGTATTAACGTAAAATGGCAGCACTTGCCAAAAGTTTTTGTAGTTTTTGGACGTAAAGGTAGGAGTTTGGAGCATGATGAACACTTTGCATCTTCGAATCGAAGTGGAATTAAGATGAAATAAATAAAACTATATATTTTACCTTTTTTTTCCTTAAGCAAGTGGCATTGTTCCTCAATTAATGTAGTCTATTCATTATAATCATCATCATCATAATAGTAAAAGGATGTGTATTAATATTGCATAATAATAATAATAATAATAATAATATTTTTGCTTTACGACACCTTTTTTTTTAATCCTAGAAAAACAAAAGAAAAAAAGGTTGTTGGTTAACTGCATTTATCACAATTAATTTTTTCATAGCAATGAAAACTTGCCACGTTCAAGTGATTTTTGTCATTTTCTCAATATTTATAAGAATGAGTTAATGAAGGATAGTTTATATTAAAAATATATTAGGGTTAAAT